GCAAATCCAGCTTTTTTTTTTTTTACTTTTTTATTTCCCTCCAGTAATTTTTTTTCTTTGCTGTTCACTAGATAGTCATTTTACAAAGATTTCTAAACCCTTGATCTTTCTTCATGGTTTGCTTTATTGGAATCTTGCACCTGCACAGACCCTACTGCAAAACTTGCTCTCCTTGCTATTTCGTTTATATTCATTATATCAGTATTACACTGGTTTTACTTTCGAGTGGAAAGTTGAATATCAGTATTTTCAGTGCCATTGGCAATTCTGATTCGTCATTCATGAAATGTAGCTCCTTACGCACTGAAGGGTATGAGATGTGTTCTAGTACTCCATCGATCTTGTTAGGGTGTTCATAAAGATGCAAATGCAGCTGGTGTAGAAGGGGTAAGTAATTAGTGTATCGTTTTCGAACAGGGTGTCAGTCCTCATTATTATTTGATGAAGACTTATTATTTTGCTTTATTGAACCTGCTATGTAGGAGACAATGTGTGTTCAAATTGAAACAAAAATGTGGCTTATAAACACTGATTGCATGCTAGTAGGATTTAGATAACAACAACAAACAACAATTAAGCACAAACTTGGGAGAAAACATCTTATTTCCTCTATAGGCACACTGAGTACATGGCCACAGATGGAATATTGCCAGACTTTTCAATACACTAGCAAAAGCGAACACTTTTCAATGACTTGCATAACATGACCAACTGGAATGTATCTTCTCTCCCATTTCATTTTATTTAGATGTTTTTCCTGATGTGTTGGCTAATTTATAAAATGCTAATGTTTGGACAAAGAAGATGAGAAAGAAAATACAGGAAATAAGATTCAGTATTTAAATCATTATAGCTCATAAACCCAAATTAAATCTGTTGTTTACTTGCAGCTTTTGATGTAAACTGTATCATTTGAATAGGGGGAAATCATACTGGTGTCCTGGTTGCCAGAGACTATTCATGACCCTCTGGTTCTGTGAATATGACGTTTCACCCCGCAAGAAATTTTTTGCTGCCAGACAGGTGTCATATGTAGTCTCCATTCTTTAGTGTGTTGTTTAAGTAATGTGATAGACCATGTCATACCACTTTTTTTTTACTTCTGAATTTTGTTTTCTGAAAAGATGAAGGTTTTCTGAATTCCTGCAATAAGCGGTTTGTCCTACATCTAGTTGACATTTACAAATGCTGAAGAAAGAGTGAGATCACCCTAGCTTTCCTGTATTTGATACTTCAGAGATTCTCACAGTTGTCCTGAGGAATATAACTCAATTGTTATGAGAGCAGTAACAGGCATTTAAAGTTCAGAATTATAGAATAATTTGAGTTAGAAGGGACCACTAGAGGCAATGCACTGTAAACCCCTGCTCAAAGCAGGGAAAACTTCAAAGTTGGATCAGATTCTTCAGGCTTCTTTCCGTCAAGATCTGAAAATACCCAAGGATTGGAAAGTCTACAGTTTCCCTGGGCAACCTATTCAACACAGAAGGGTGTGCATTTTTTTGATGAAAAATACATGGATTGTCGTGACCAGTTTTATATTAAATATATATATCTGCATCTAAAATTTCTGAAATTACTATTATGATTAGCTACTGTCACCCTGAATTTAAATAATATAAATGGTGCAGAAAATATTTATAAATTGTGTCTTTATGTGGCAGTGACCCAGGTTAAATAGGTTTCTGGTGATCTATGTTAGTTCTGTTTTGTATAAATGTTGCTAATTACTCAATGGATTCATGGAAACATTAAGATTTTTTTATTTCAAAACTACTTTCATTGTTAGTTTTTAAAACAGTTAGGGTAGGATTTGAAGAGCCAGTTACTTAAAATTATTCCTTTTGTGTGGTTTGTGTTTTTTCTGGATTTATATAGATTTAAGATTTACTTATTGTAAAGGATATGGAGCTTAAAAAGTTCTCTCTCTTAGGTAGAAGAGCTGATGAATGCACTGGAAAAGACTAGACAAGAATTAGATTCTACCAAAGCCCGTCTTGCCTCAACACAGCAGTCTTTGGCTGAAAAAGAAGCACATCTGGCTAACCTAAGAATAGAGCGAAGAAAACAGCTTGAAGAAATTCTAGAAATGAAGTAAGTACATTGATTTCTCCAATTTTTAGAAAAAAACAAACCTACTTTCTTGCCATAAGAGAAGGGGGTTTTTTCTTTGTTTTTCCTGTGTATATATTTAAGTCTAAATCTAAGGACTGCTAATAGTTGTAAGACTGTTAAATTCCTTTTCAAATATGGAAATGCAAAAGTCTTCATTTTAGAAGTACTCAACGATTGACATGAGAAGAATTTTTTGAAAGCTGTCCTTTGTCACATGCAAAGAAAATATCAGCACAGTATAACTTGTTTGAGAAATTGAGGGTCTGAAGCCTCATCTTTCAGTGGGCATTCTATGTTGGACTTTCTGTTAGTGTCAAATTCAAGGAAATGGGTTCATTGGCTGTATATGGATTGTGCACAGTTTGTTGCATTGATTTGGTTAAAAAAACTTGCCAACCCAAACCAGCAAAAACCTATTTGCATACACATTATCACCATGTATAAAGGTACAGAACTGAAAAAGGAAGGTAGACTTATAATTTGAAACTAACTTTACCCACAATAAAGGTAAATATCTGTAATAATGGCATGTTAAAGCTCTGGCATGATCTTTAAAATTGTCAAAAAAAAAAGAATGAACTTGTTATGACTTGGCTAGGTTGGTGTGTCGTTAACATTCAACAAAGAAAATTCACAGTTGTAATTTAGAAACTGTTTTATTGAGAAAGGAGAAAAAGCCCTGAAACACTTAAACCATATATAGCTCTAGCTAAGTTGTTGTAGATAGCCTTACATTTTAAAGGAAAATAAATAATCAGAAAAAATTATTTTGATAGTGTTGTAAATAAGACAAGGTGGCAATGGAGACATATACTTATTGGAGTTTTATCAAAATAGGTTTTAAGAATGGCTACCGTGTAGTATAAGTGCAGAAATACTGTAATGTAAGTGTGAATGTTTCCAGTGAAATCGAAAGAACTTCTCCTTTTGTCTTTACTGAGGTCTATATCTGTACAGAAAAATGGGAGCATATAGGAATTAGAGTATTATGTAATATTATGTTTTATGTTAGATACATATTTTTAGTTTTCTGGTTTCTTTCATATGTACATATTAATTCATCTACGATAACTCACTGGCTCAATGCCAGTGTATTTCATGCAGTCATCTATTTTCTGTATAGTGCTCTAGTCTGTTTCTTTGAGTGCATGCTTGTTTTTCGTACTAATGGTAAGATTTTATATTTTTCTTATAATTTTCAATTATTGAGCAACATGAGGGAGGAAGCATTATCATTAATTCTGTTGTGACTGTATTGGTTGGGTACACAGAACCTCACAGAACTGTGTAAGGCTTGTATCTTCAGTCTGGGAAGTGAGGTTGGCAAAACTGGTGAAGTTTGACTTTTCTTTTGATAAAAGCTGCTCTATTTTGTGAATAAAGGACTGAGTGTGTGGTAGTAGTGGTGAAAGACACAATATCAAAGGTCCGAGTTAGGAATGGTTTGGAATTTAAAAAGAGATATAAACATGTAGTGTGTTTTTGCAGTATCAATTTTTAAAATAAAATAGTAATATCAGAAGAAAATTTCAAATTAGCACTTAAAAATTAAATTAATAGTCATTTCTAGTTAAATATGTGGGGTTTTTTTTCTTCTATGAGTAGTCATTAGTATGGTTTCTTTTGTAAAAGACTTCTTTCTTATTTTTCTTTTTTGCCTTTGATTTCTTAATCTCTACTTTGTTAGCTGTGTAAGCATGCAGACTTTTTGTGCCATTACCTTCTCTGTCTTCAAGAGAAGCAATTGTTCGTATACAGTTTTTATTTTTAATCCTGAACAGACCTAAAATTCATTTGAAATTATAAATTGTTAACCTGTAATAATAAAATACAATTAATTATGATGCATACTTCTTCCTGCTTAAGCCACAGAAGGTTACCTAATCTTCTGCCCTGTGTTGTTACTCGTAAGAGTCTGATGCTCTCATATACAAATCACTCCATGTGAGATCTATGATTCAGCTAATAACCTAAAATTAGAACTCACTTTCATTAGAAAAACCTCATATATTCTGTTACTATTTTTAATTCTATCTTAATTTCTGTGAAATATGTTACAAAGGTGAGTTCATATTGGAGATGGAATCAGACAGAATGTCTATTGCTTGTGGTGAGATGGAAAGAAATGAATATGGGTATTAGCGGGATGGTTTTGTTGGGCTAGCAGATAGAAAGTATAGCTAATGATCAAAATATATAAAATCATAGCACATTACTAATCAGACAGAAAAAATAGAATAATGACAGAAACTCACATGATCCTATTTACTTTTTTTCCTTTTTACCACCTCTCTAACAACATTAGTACTGAATCAAAGAAGCAAAAATGAAATTACTTATTCTTTTTTTGAGCTCTATGTATGGGAAGGGCTACATGACTGCTATCAAATATAAATGAAATGTAAATCTTAATTCCAGATTCTTTAATTTAATAAGATATACCAAACAAATTAATAGATACGCACCTATTAGTAAACGTCTCTTAGAAATAATTCAGATATTTCATTACAGTAGCTTAATTTTTGAAATTGCTTACTGAAATAAGTGTATGACAAACTTTATAAAACTGCAGCGTTACAATGCTAGCATATGTAGAATATACTAAATATGGCATCTCATTTTTTTTTCTGAATAAGGTATTCTCAAAAACAGATTGTAGAAGCTAGCTAAGACCCAGACATCCACTGACCAAACAATGATAATTCTGTGTTGTAGTAATGTACTAAAATAGTGTGTCTCCTCTCTGATATTTTAAGATAATTTTTTAATGGGCAGCATTGACCATAACTTCTATTTATCATTTTTTAAATAGAATATTGAGTGATTACAGCTTTTGACTGCTAGCTTCCAGTTAAATAGGCATGACCTGTGTGTTTAAGAACATTCATGATGATTTCCTATGCTTATATTATGTTCAAGTTCCAAACATAACTCTGCATTCTAGGCCCATCTGGCTGACATTGCCAAGATCCATCTTAATTTACTGGCTACAATAAGTTGTCAGTTTTAGATAACTTCTTCAGTTGTTGTTACATCTTCCCATATACATTGTTATTTAAGGAAGTTTAAAATAAAAATAGATAGCAACTTATTCTTGGTCATTATCTGGTTGGTCTTTTTGAAATGGAAACTACATAAGTACCCATTAAATGAAAGGCAGTTTGATGGAAGGAGATAAACATCAAGTTATTCTTAACTTGATGCCAACATGTGAAAAAATAAGATTAATTTTAAAGAATTCCAAAGTGTTACGTTTTGGAAAGGGATTTGCATTTGCATGTTACTTTCTAGACATGTGATTTTTATTTTTTACTTTTTTCCCAAATGTCTTTTAAAAATATTACTATATTAGTTCTGGAAGAACTGTTTTTGTTATGGTCATACTATTTTGACAGTGCACACATAACTCATACTGACATTAATGGAAGTTATGCATACGTGTTAACAGGAAAATGCAGCATGTGTTCGGATCCATCATTTTGCTTAATTGTCTTAATGCTTTGTTCTCTTTCTATCTCTGAGCATAAAAAAATAACCAAACAAACGATGCACTTATTATTTTTAATAAGTGATAGTTTAATAAAGAATATTGTGTTGCATAGGGTGACAAAAGGCATGTTAGTGTTTTTAAAAAATGTATTTATCAACCATAGAAATGTTTCAATTGGCCTGAACTTAAAAATTGGTAGTTAGAAATATGTATCGACTACTTTTTCCAGATGTTGTTTTTGTTTTCTGAGAGCCTGCAGAAGGAGCACAGCCTTCTGAGAACTTCACAAGATTCGCCTAGAAAAGCTTATTCATTTTGTAATATGAAGAGCTCGAGGGTAGGAGAAGTTTCTGTGCTGTGATGTGGTGGGGTTTTTTTTCAGATGTTTCGGAAATGCCATATTTGTGGAACATGCTTTCATGACCACAACGTGTCCGCAATGCTTTCATACGGATGTCCTTTCCTATATGGTGGTTCCTTCCAAAACTCATAAACCTGCTTATAACAAAATTAGATAGCTGTATAGATAGATAAATGAGTGTTTATACAATACTGAAATTGCTTTATATATGTCTGTGAAATAAATGTCTGTCCTTATGGAAAGTGGATTTTACTCTATGAGAGAGATCATCTTTTTAGAAATGGTCAAAGTTATTTTCGCTTTGAGAGATATTTGGCCTGGAAAGCCAATAGTCATAAAAGAAAGTCTAATGACATGTGAGGGAAAAGATGTAAAAATTAATACCGCCTTTTAGTTAGTTCAACTTTTAAATTATACGCATGCAATCTTCAAGCTGCAACCACTGAAGTTAAAAACAAAACAAAAAACCCTAACCCCCCAAAACCTCCAAAACTTTGTTATCAAAACTTGGGTGTTTCTCAGTTAAAAACCCTTAAATTAACTTCCTGTGATGTTTACTCTACTTAGAAATATGTTTAAATACAAGAGTACAAAAAAAAAAAGAAAATTATCTCCTTGTGGTTTTGCATTAATTTGATGATCTTTCAGTGACTTAGTTATATGTGACAAACACTGCCCTTGGTAGTGAATGACCATGGGATTAATCCCCCAAAAGACTGAACTTCATGTTTGAGATCCAGCTGTTAATGACTATTTCCTTCAGCAGTCAACTCAGTACATTCAGTGCTCTGAAGCTTTCATGGTATCCTGAATGAAATTCTTGCCAAGAGTTTGAAAGGTAATTTCCTTGACTTTGACAGAGTTCATGCCATCACCTGTGTGTATTGCTAAATCAGTTTTGTTGGAAGTGACTTTGCTCTGAAATTCACTACAAATTTCCAGAAGAATATATATTTTCCCTTATGTGGAATAAATCAGATTACTTCAGTAACGAAGCATTAAAGATCTCCTAATAAAATAACCAGCTACTTGTCCTTTCATTCAGCAACAAAAACAGAACATTGCTATGCTGTCCAAAAAAAATTATTTTTAAATTAGATTTTGCAGTATATTTTCTTACAATGACAG